TGATGGTGGGGATGGTGGTGGTGGTGATGGTGGTGATGGTTGTTGGTGGTGGTGGTGATGGTTGATGGTGGTGGTGGGGATGGGGATGATGATAGTGAGGGTGATGGTGATGGTGATGGTGGTGATGGGGATGCGGATGATGATAGTGAGGGTGATGGTGATGGTTGTTGTTGGTGGTGGTGATGGTGGTGATGGTGGTGGTGGGGATGGGGATGATGATAGTGAGGGTGATGGTGATGGTGGATGATGATGGTGATGGTGGTGATGGTGATGATGGTGATGGTTGATGGTGATGTAGGTGATGGTTGATGGTGATGGTGGTGATGGGGATGCGGATGATGATAGTGAGGGTGATGGTTGATGGTGATGGTGGTGATGGTGATGGTTGATGGTGGTGGTGGTGATGGTGATGGTTGATGGTGGTGATGGTGGTGATGGTGATGATGGTGATGGTTGATGATGGTGATGGTTGATGATGATGGTGATGGTGGTGGTGATGGGGATGATGATGGTGAGAGTGATGTTGATGGTGATGGTGGTGATGGTGATGGTTGATGGTGGTGGTGATGATGGTGATGGTTGATGGTGATAGTGGTGATGGTGGTGATGGGGATGCGGATGATGATAGTGAGGGTGACGGTTGATGGTGGTGGTGGTGATGGTGATGATGGTGGTGATGGTGATGGTTGATGATGATGGTGATGGTTGGTGATGATGGTGATGATGGTGATGATGGTGATGGTTGATGGTGATGGTGGTGATGGTTGATGGTGGCGGTGGTGATGGTGGTGATGGTTGATGATGATGGTGATGGTTGATGGTGATGGTGATGGTTGATGGTGATGGTGGTGATGGTTGATGGTGGTGGTGGTGATGATGGTGATGATGGTGATGATGGTGATGGTTGATGGTGATGGTGGTGGTGGTGATGGTTGATGGGGATGATGATGGTGATGGTGGTGATGTGGTGATGGCAAAGGTAATGGTGATGATGAAAGTTGTGATGAGGAGGAGGAGGAGGCAGTAGCACTTGGTTTTACTCTCTGCCAAATTCAGTGTTGAGTCCTTCATGTGCCTTTTCTCACTCAATCCCCTCAACTCTCCTATGATGTGAGAATAGTTGTTATGCCAACTTTATACAGGGAGGGAAATTGAGATTTGGAGCAATTGAGAGACTTGCCTGAAGTCATGCCCTTTATAAGATTTCTTGATAAAAACCCTTTTTTTCCAAATGAAGGCATCATAGAGGGTGAGTAGCACTTGGGTGGGGGTTGGAGGACAAATGCCCTTGCTGGGACGCCCAGCCCAAAAGAAGCTCCTAAAGGACAACCCCAATATTTGAATATAGTGAACATCTACTATGCACCAGCCTCTGTGCCAAGCTTCATTTCATTTCACAATATAAAGTCCACAGTAAGCCTGTGGTCAGGGAACTATCATCCTCATTTCACAGAGATAAGAGAACTAAGGCTCATACAGCTCAGGAACTGGATATAATTACATATCTTTGAAAGCAATTTGTTTCCAGATGTCTGACTCCAAAGACCCTGCTAGAAACTATTGCCTGTGGTGCAAAGAAAACTCCCACAGCCTTGAAGAGGCCTGGAAACACCTTTCTAGACCTCCTTCTCTTCACTTCACAGTAAACAGGCTGATGTGTTTGGTTGGGCAGGTTGGGCACTGCACAAACGCACTCTATAGAAAAAGTTATGCCTGAAGGCCAGTCCACATGCCATGCTTCCTGGATGGCAACACATTTACCCGAAGGAAGGGGAGGGCACCTTTTAGCGATTTTCACAAAAGTGCTATAAGAGCTAGGGGCATCCCTACCAACAGTCAGCCCCTGTTTGGCCTGATGGAGTACCAGTGGTGACCAACTGGGGCTGCTTCCATGGTAGCTAAAGTCCTGCTATGAGCCTGGTGCAGCAAGTACAGCCTTTGGGTCTATTTACATTCCAGTGAAGAAGGACGAATATTTGTTATTTTTCAGGGAAATGTTGGTTAGTCTGTGCAGAACTGTTGCCTCAGCCTGGAGGAAAGAGTCCTACACAGATTAATTACTCTGTGACCATGAATGGCTTTGATGTGGCCAGAACAGATGCTAGGGCCTTTTCAACAGTAGATAAAGAGTCCTTAATAAATGAGTTTGCTCATTCCTGGTGCCTTTCCCCCAGGCTATTATTTGTCTTTATTTTTTTCATGTTGCCTTTGTAGCCCCTACACACGAGGGAGGTTAGAGAGTCATGTGGTTCATCAAGCTGCCTAGAGCCTGGTCCACCATGGCTGCCATTTGCTAAGCACCTACTGTGTGCTGAGCCCTGTGTTCCTGATGGAAACTAATTATTGAACACTTACAGTATGCCAGACACTGTCTAAACCCCTTACCTGGCTTAACTCACCTAATCCTTCCAACAGTCCAATGATGTAAGTGCTATTATTTCCATTTTACAAATGAAATAACTTAGCACAGAGAAGTTAACTTGGCCAGATCACACAGCTTGGATAGGGCAGAGTTGGGATTCAAACGCAGACGATCTGGGTCCCAAGACTGCACTCTTAATCACAGCTTCTCAACCTACCTTGTGAATAATTTACTCTTGTTATCCCATTTAATTTTGTAAGGTTTATTATCCCTGTTTTGTAAGTGATGAAACTGAAACTCAGAAAGGTGAAGAGCCTTACTGAATGTCACACAGGTAAACCATGATAATCCAGGATGGAGATCCAGGTCCATCTGACTCCAGATCTGTACCTAATACTGCCTTCAGCATCTGCTTTGACTTCTGGGGCTTAAGAATAAAATAACTTTCTTTATAGTGCTACAAATAACAGCCTTTACCTTAGGATTGATCTTGGCCTCCCAGGAAAGTACTGGAGTGGAAAATTCTGGTTTTGAGAGAAATTAAGGGGCTGGGTCCTCTCACCCCACTAACCCAACATTTTATTATTTAAAAAAATGCCAAATCTCCAGAAAAGTCAAAATAATTATACTCATTCCATAGATTTTTATATTTGTTACCTTTGTACTGTATTTCTTCTATCATACATTTCTCAATTTCTCCATCCCTTGATCCTTCTTAATTTCCGACGCATTTCAAAGTGAGTTGCAAACATCATTGTACTTCAGTATGTTTATCATGAATTGTAATTCATTATTTCCTTGTGATTTCTGAAGTAACATTTCCATGGGGTGAAATGCACAAATTGTAAGTGCACTGATCAGTGACAACGGGATAATCCACACTCCTATCAACATGGGAACCATAACCAGACTCTAGAACAGCGGTTCTCAACCTGTGGGTCACGACCCCTTTGGGGGTCTCCTGCATATCAGATATTTACATTACGATTCATAACAGTAACAAAATTACAGTTATGAAGTAGCAACAAAAATAATTTTATGTTTGAGGGTCACCACAACATAAAGGGTTGTGGCATGAGGAAGGTTGAGAACCACTGCTCTAGAAAGTTCCCATATCTGGGCTCCCTTTTGCAGTACATTCCCATGAAAACCATTCCCAGATGCTTCCTTGGCCTTGACACTGATGTTTTTGAGTTTACTGCCTCTTAAATCTGCTATCTTCAGAATAAACAGGTTAAAAACATGGAAGGAGAAAAGACCTGAGCCCTTGGCTAGTAGCAACAGTACTAAGAGCTACAATCAGTTGGCACTTCTAGTGTGTGAGCCTTTGTATTTTTGAGACAGAGTCCCACTGTGTTGCCCTCGGTAGAGTGCTGTGGCATCACAGCTCACAGCAACCTCAGACTCTTGGGCTTAGGCAATTCTCTTGCCTCAGCGTCCCAAGTAGCTGGGACTACAGGTGCCTGCCACAATGCCTGGCTATTATTTTTTTGTTGTTGCCATTGTTGTTTAGCTGGCCCTGTCTGGGTTCAAACACGCCAGCCTTGGTGTATGTGGCTGGTGCTGTAACCACTGTGCTAAGGCGCTGAGCCCAGTGTGTGAGTCTTATGCGAACACCCTTCATTCATTCTCAACTGCAAGCCTCCTAACAATTTCAGACCATCCCCACTGCTTACTAGTTCCATTTTACAGATGAGGAAACTGAGGCTCAGACAGATCATTCTTATCAAAGTTGCCCAGGAGATAAGTGTCAGAATTGGAATTTAGATCTAGGACTTCAACCCTCCCCTTCAAAGAGTTGTGAGAACTCAGGCTCAGAATAAGTAAGGCTAAAATAAATGGCAGCGAATGCAGAACAGGAAAGACCCGGGTAAAATCTCAGGAAAAAATTGTGTCTCAGAAAGGCGGAGTGATCCGCTGCTGCATAGTGGTCACAAAAGGGAGCTTGTCTGATGGATTCAGCATGGGGCAGTTGCTGGGGACCTCAGTGAGACCTGATCCTGGGCAGTACAAAGGCCAGAGGCAAGGGCCAGAAGGAAAATGGAATAGCTCTGTTGGAGATGAGGCTGTGACCAGGTCAAGGAGAGATGATGGTCACTGGAGGGGGGTCTTTCTAAATGCTGGAGCTGTTTGGCATGTTGGAACATAAATGTGATCAAGCCAGTTGAGAGAGAGGACAGATGGGGACAGATGGGACAAGAAACTTTGTGAGGAGGAAGGAAGTGCACTCAGACACTTGGGCAGGGGATGGGACAGAGATGAGGACAGGGGAGGTGAGGGAGGCTCATGTGATGGTCAGTAAGGATGAGGGTGACCTGCCTAGAGGAAGGAAGTCAGGACTGAGACTTGGGGCCTCCAAGCCTGGATCTGGGATTCTCCCCACTTCCTTTTTATTCCAGAGCTCCTACACTGGGCTTCCCCTCGGCATCTCTTTCTGCTGGGACGACCAAAAGAAACTCCTGAGCTTTCTTAGCTCCAGTGGGGCTTGCAAGCAGCAGGTGCTGGGGTGTGTATTTTCCATTTTGTGACCGTAGTGGTATCCTGAGCTTTCTGAAAAGCCAGAGAAACCAAAATATCACAATGGTCCTCAACACCACCACAAATTCATTTTACTGATGAGAAAACTGAGGGCTGAAGAAAAATCATCTCCGCTCTCAGAGCACTAAGTATTAACATGATATATGCATTGTTTCATGTAATCTTTTCAACAGCCCTATAAAGGCACAATTATTGTCACCTACCCCTCCACCATCTACCTATTCATCCAAGAAGTGTTTATTAGGTACCTGCGGTCTGCAAATATTATGGAAAGTACTGAGAAATCAGCAAAGTGCAAAATGGGCAGGGTTTGAACTAACCACTCATTGCAACCAATAATTATTTGAATTACAATTGGAATAAGCACTATGGGGAAGATGGACACAGTATACATTAATGATAGCCCGGGGAAGGAGGGAGGGAGAGAGGACAGACCTAATTCGGCAGAGAGCTGAAGAGTAAGAAGCAAAGGCAGGGAGGAGGCAGTGTCCAGGAACAGGTGCTAAGACAGGAAGGAGCGGAGCATGGAAGAGGAAGTGAAGAGGGCCCAGGTGGCCGGCAGGTGGCCAGAGGCAGGGGAAGGGTTATGGATGAGCCTGGGGGTCTGCAAAGGGCCAGACATGTGGGCTGGGAGGCCAAGATAAGAAACTTGCCCTGGATTCCATTCAGATGCACGGCACCACTGAAGGTTTTAATCTGAAGGCAAGGGGTTGGGAGTGATTGTGAAAGACTTGCTTCACTGGGGACAAACTGAGGCTAGAGAGAAGATTCATCCTCCCAGCTGACTTTCATTGAATCCCTACTATGTGCTGAGCACTGAGCCCACCCTTCCCATACATACACCCTTCCCATACACCCTTCCCTCACCTCAACCTGGAAAGGGAGGTGCCATCCTCCCATGTTACAGATGGGGAAACTGAGGCTAGAGAACTTTTCATGATGTGTGCTGGGTCACACGGATGACAAGAGGCAGTGGTGGGGCTCATATCCTATCTGTGCCCTGCCCTTTTCAGACAACCGCTGCATGGACAGAAGGTTCCTGCCAGCCAAGTCCAAGCAGCTCATCGCTCTGGCCAGCTTCCCAGGCGCTGGCAACACGTGGGCTCGCCACCTTATCGAGCTGGCGACTGGCTTCTACACCGGCAGCTACTACTTTGATGGCTCCCTCTACAACAAAGGTGAGGTTGGGGGGTGGCTTCCCCAGCTTAGGAAAGTCCCCACTGGGAGGGCATGGGAATACCCCTTCCTGAGTACCTATTATGTGCCACTCAGCCCACCCAGGCACATTTATGGAGACCTACTATGTGCTTGGTGCCCTCCCTTTCTGTACATACCACAGACTTCTTTTTTGACTTGCTCTGTCACTCAGGGTGGAGTGCAGTGGCCTGATCATAGCTCACTGCTAACTCAAACTCCTGGGCTCAAGTGATCTTCCTGCCTCAGCCTCTCTAGTAGCTGGTACTACAGCTATGTACCATGATGCCCAGCTGAATTTTTTATATTTTTTTAAAATAGGTTCTTGCTATGTTGCCCAGGCTGGTCTCAAACTCCTGGCCTCAAGTGATCCTCCTGCCTCAGCCTCTCAGAGTGCTGAGATTACAGGTGTGAGCCACTGTCTCCAGCCCCACAATGTTTCCTGAGTATCATGTCCTGGGTACCTCATCTGCATCAATTCACTAACTGACATTTATCAGGCACCTGTCGTGTGCCTGGTCCTTTTCTTCCATTTAGGTGACCATAACCATTTTGTAAGCACCTACTGTGTACCGAGTACCTCCCTCCAGATACTTACCTCTGTGCTGTCCATAGAGGTACAACAGCTATGTCACTTTGGAGATATTTACTGAGTACCTACTGTTCACCAGGTTCTTATCTACATTCAAATCATCAGCACCTGTTATTCAGGGTGCTTTATTTTCACTCCATTTGCAGATGTTTATTGAACACCAAAACATCTGGATGTGCTTCCTAAGTTTGGTTTCCCAGTGAGCATTTATGGAGCCCTGATTATGTGCCAGGGACCTCCTCTAGGTTCACATGACCCTAGATGTTCTCTTGACCACCTACTAAGTGCCAAGAGCTGTGCTAGATGCCCAGGTCTGCGTTATTATTTAACCCTGCACAGGAACCCTGGACATTAGAGTAATGGTGCCATTTCTCAGATATGAAAACTGAGGCTTGGAGTGGAGAAATAGCTTAGCTAAAGTCCCATAGTTGTTTGAACTGATCAGGGATTGCATCCTAGTCTTTCCCAGTTTCAAAGCCCACATCCTTTTACTCTGTCACACAGTCAAGAAATCCCTGCGTGTGTGGGTTTTTGTAATGGGAAAAATATTGAATGAAACTAGAAATCCTGGGTGAAATACCCTTTGGGTGTGTTGCCCTCTGCAAGGGAAGGTGGGAGATATCAGGGAAGCAGGGACTTGCCTGTGGGGGTGGGGTTTACATCTCTGTGTGAAGCAGCCCTTGGCCATGGTCTTTGAGCCTGCAAATTACCTGATGATCCCTTCCTGGCTGTGTGACCTTGGGTACGTTATGACACCTTTCTGATCCTGTGTTATCATGTACAAATTAGAGATAACAGTATCCAACCCCGTGAAACTGTAAAGGTTAATTAATAAGTTGATTGATACTTGTAGTGCTTAGCACATAGTAAGTGTTCAGTAAAAGTTGACTATGCGGTACTGGGGTCCGGGTGCCAGGTAGGTTGACAGACAGCCACCCCTGACCTCTAGCTCAAGGACAGCGGGGGTCTGTGTCTTTCTCAGGGTGAGAAGTGAGGAAGAAAAGACAAGAAGGTTGGAGTTGGTAGGGGAGCAGGGCAGGCGAATCTGCCTTGGAACTTCAGCTTTTCAGATACTTACTAACTTTTAGTTTTGGTCTGAGCAGTTGTTAGTTAGCCACCTACTATGTGCGAGGTTCCACCCCGAGGCTTTTACATGCTCGCATCAGAAACCAGGGCTGCCTGGCCACAGTACCTAGGATCTCAGGCCCTCTGCTGTGCTGCCTTTATGGGAGTTGCCGGAAGGAGCCTGAGCACATTCCAGGTTCTTTCGGGAGCACTGACTGGGGATGCCAGCCCAGAAAGCATCCCATCCCTTGGCCCACATTCCAACCTCCCTGGATGTGACAGCAATCCCAGAATGTCACACAGAAGGAGCCTTCAGGATCATTTAGTTCTGGGATTCAAAGTGGTTTCATCTCTCGTGTCAATTCCAACAAACACCTGCTGTAGGACAACGTGTTAAGAAGGATTTTGAGGTAAAAATGATAACAATAAATTTAAAAAAGGATTTTGAGGTTCTGTTTTCTCTCATAAACAGGGCTTAATCTAGTAGTGATGCCTGTCGCAATGGAGAATGGGGAGCAGCGGTCTCTATGCCAAGTATTTGGCATTTCCAATCTGACTCAGCCTCCTAACTTCAGGGAAAAGACAATCGAATCTTTTTTTGGGGATCCATTGATGGTACAAAGAATTAGGTAACACTGATTGCATTTGTTAGAGAGAGTCCCTCTTATAATTGTGTCCTGCCCCCAAGAGGTGAAGACAATGGTATCTTAAGACGGAGTCAGGAGATTGAGCTTTCGGTCTGAAAGTTCACTCTGATACTTACTACCTCTGGGAACTTGGACAAGATTTTCACCTCTCTGAGGTTTAATTTTTTCATCTGTTATATGAGGACATCAGTACTGAACTTGGAGATTTCCCAAAAATGTAAGATAATGTTTGTGAGATAATATGTATGAAGCTGTTGTGTAAAATACATGATTTTTTAAATGACATGTAACCAGAACGATAAGCTACTCAGTCAAAGGCAAGGAGGGCTTGTCTCTGACTATACATTAGAATCATCCAGGGGGCTTTTTAAAGAACCTCAAACAATTATCTTCAGAATCTCAGGAGTAGGCCTGGCCTGGCACGCTCCCCAGGGGATGTCAATGGACCGCCAGAGCTGGGAACCGCCCCCACCCCTCCCCAGGCTAAGAACCCAATATTCCCGGGATTCTTACTTCCAGACCCCTAACATTCCAAAAATTTGTCTTTGCCTTGTGTTGTTTCTACTCCACTGTTGGGGAATATTAATTGATCGTTCATGGAGTGAGATGTCTACTAAAATTTTACCTTGACTTAAGGAAAAAAAAAAGAGAGAAGAAAGAAAAAAACCATAAACCCTCCATGGCAATTCTCTTGTCTCAAGCTGTGTCTAGTTACTGGATGTTACCTTCATTCCCACTGAGAAAGGCAGGGGTTTGTGGGCTGGTCACAGGCAGCTGAGTCTTTGAGCATAGCTGCCTTTTCATTAGGAGCTTAAAACTCCTTCCCACAGCCTGAGCCCTTGCAGTTAACAATGAGCTCTCCCTGGGAGCTTGGGGCTGGCAGTGGAGTGCAGGGAAAGAGAGGACACCCCCCCCCAAGGGCTTAAGTCAATCTAGCTAGCCCCCACGCCCCTCCCCACATCACCTTTGCAGCCAAAAGATGAAATCCTCCTACCCTCACTGCAGAAAGGTTCCAGGGGGAGGCGTAACTTCTCTGCCCCGGTGGCCCCCCTGGGCAGAGCTCTGCCTCCCCTTTTAGAGCTCAGTCTCCAGGTATAATGAGCTCTTTGGAGTTCCAGAACATACCAGAGATCTGCACATGCACCTTGGTCCCTGCTGCCTCCACCCTGTATCTTGTTCATTGGTCTGGAGAGCATCTCCTGAAGGGGGTGGGGGCAACTCCTCCCTTTGCAGTGTCCCTAGCAGATTCAAGCGTCCCCCTTTATCATCCCTGTGACGCAGCATTCCTTCACTGTAGCCCTTAGCAGGCCTGGGCCGGGTTTGAACCTGCCAGCCTCGGTGTATGTGGTTGACTCCATAACCACCTTACTACAGTGCTGAGCCAATACTAGGAATATGTTTATATCACTGCCAAGAAGACTCATCATCCCAGGTACTTACTGGGTGTCTACAATAGGCAGGGCTGTGACAGGTGGCTTGATACTTTTTCTAACTCAGTCTTGGGGTGGGGGGGTTATGCAGAAGATGGGTAGGGCTGACTCAAAAGGAGTGAGAGGAAGGTGTCCCAGGCAGAGGCAGGGGTGGGGGGGAGTGCCTGCAGTATTGGGCAGTGAAGGGGGATGGGATAGGGAGGTGAGGGGTACGACAGGAGAGGCAGCCAGGACTAGAGATGGCAGAACACCTGGAATGCCCTTCAGAGAGCTGGGGACATTATTATCCCGAGGGCAGTGGACTGAGGGTGTTATCAGAGATGTGTGTGCTGAGGCTTGTTAGTTTGAATTACCACCCGCACGGCCATTAATTTGGACTTGGGGTGTTCAGGAGGCTGCAGGGTCATCTGGGTGAGTGACAATGGTGGGGAGAAGGGGACAGGGGGTGGGGTTTTTAGGAGGTCATTGGTGACTCTTGTGCTTCTGGGGGGCTTGGTAGGTGGGTCTGGAGGCGTGGTCTCTGTGCACTGAGCTGATATACGTCCTTCAGAACATCCTTACTGCTGCTAGTACTTGCAGGATGGCTGGGAGCACATTCCTTTGGCCCTGGAGAGCCCGATGTCCAACCCCACGAGAGGCAGGTGTCAGGCGGGTGACACCCAGGGCCCTGCCACTGTCTCCCTGGCTGCTTGGCATTTGCTCTCCTTCCTCTGCATTTTCCACGACCTTCTCTTCTCTCACTCTGACAAAGGGGCTGCTCCACTGGGGGTTGGTGAGGGAGGCAGTGAATGAGTGAGTGAAGGAAGGAAGGCGTGCAGGGAAACCCCTTCCCTGAATCTGAGGGCTCATGCTACCCCAGTCTGCCCTCTCTTTCCCAGTGTGGTCCGCCACTTGCAAAGCATGGTTTTCTCTGAGTCTGTGTCCATCCCCCCGTCTGGCTGCTGAGAACTAATTGATGGGCACACATGGGAAGAAGAAAAATCATTGCCTCTTTCTTTCTTGATCGTCCTTTCTCTCTCTGAGTGTCTACCCCTGGTCTGTATGTATCTCTACCTTTCTCTGCTGCTCTCTTTGCGTCTCCCTCTGTTCTCTCCGTCTCTATCTCCCCCTCTCTATTTCTGTCTCATTTCATGTGTGTCTGTCTCCCCCATCCCTGTCTTTCCCCTGGGTTTGTGTCCATGCCTACCTCTCTCCAGGTACCCGTTTCTGTCCTTCTCCCTCTCCCTTTCCCTTTGCCTGGGTTTCATCTCCCCTCTCTCCCCTTCTCCCTATCTCAGGGTCCCTGCAGCCCCGAGTGCAGACTCAAGTGCTCTGAGTCTGACTTATGAGGGTGGGGACACAAAAGAGAGAGGGCGGAATGATGTCCTGGACTGGACATCATTCCGCCTTTTCTAGATACTGGTGGCCCACAGATGGGGCAGGGAATTGATGAGGTACCTCCCAGCCCACCTGAAACAATGGCATAAATTTCTGAGACCTACCTCGTCTTCAAAACAAGTCTCATTGTCTTGTTGGGCCACCAGCTTTCAGGGTGTCTGTGCCTGGAGCCACAATGGAACTTTCCTGCTGCAGTAAACTCCAGGGTCTGGAGAGATACGGAGTCTTTGCCACTTCGCTTCTCTGTGCCTCAGTTTCCCTAACTGCAAAGTGCATAGCCAACTATAGTATTGGGGGGGTGGAAGAGAAAAGGGGATGACATGTTTTATTTTCTTGGTGACCTTGAACTCAGAGGTTGTTTCTCCAAATCCTGGGACAAGCCCTCAGGTTTGTTCAGCCCCGCAGAGTCTGAGGGTCACATGGGTGTCCCAAATAAGCTATTATTTTGGTGACTCATAAAAGTAACATGATTTAAATACACCACATTTGTGTCATGGAGGTGCTGGGTCCTGCTGTTAAGGAAGGATGAAAAAAGGGGGGACCCTTTCAGTAATTCTGCTCTGCCACCAAGCTCGCATCCCTAATGTCCTAGCAAATACCTAGCCAGGCCCTCCTGAGAGGACAATTGCGCAAGTCCGTCCCATGTGGCTTCTCCAAGCTCCTTTCCAGACACAGAACTCTTCTCTCTCTGGGAGACATTTTGCTAAATGGAATTTTCTCCATCTCCCTATATTTCTGATACTTCCTACAGACCAACACCTCCTCAGGCAACCAGACTCTGAAATCTGGAGATCTTTCCCCATAGTCATAGTTTTCCTTATTTTCTGTTTGTTTTTTTAGTCTTGATCAATATCAAGCTAAGCTGACCCCATCATGGACAAAGTGAAGTATGACTTAGAGCTCATGCTACATAGAACTGATTGAAAATAGTTTGACCGTTCTGCTGTGTTTCTGACAATTATTTTTCCTTTTTGAGAATCTATGTGGGTTCTCGTACACCAGCGGTTCTCCATGAGTGCGTCGTGACCTACAGGAACTGTATTAAAGGGCCGCGGCACTAGGCAGGTTGAGAACCACTGTCCTAGACCTCCTGCCTGGGTCTTTCCATTGCTGTGCTCATAGCGAAATAGATTTCAATGATGATGAAATGAAAGCACAGCTGCTGAGTCCTCAGTCTATGCCATTGCAGAGCTCAGTCAGTGGAACACATGACATGGAATTGTATCCAGTGTTGCTTGTGGGTAAATGTTTCCATCCCACTGACATCCTAGTCCTCATTGCCCTCAGGAGATTTGTCCCAGGATACTGTGCTTCTCATTGGCCTCAAAGGCTGTGGGGTCATATTCTCCCATGGGCACGGGCCAGTGCTAATTTGCAAGCCTAGGATACTTGCAGGCAACTTGACCTGGAAAGTCCCAGAATGGGACCTGATTAAGGAAATCACATTCCATTCTTGACTTTTCACAGTGGTCCTGTGAGCAGGCTACACCTTTCTGGACTCCTATCTCTAGGAACAGGAGCTGACATCATGCCAGCCTTCAACTCCTTCCACCTTAAAAGCCAGAAAACAGATCATTAAACTTTTGTGAGTGGGCGGGAAGGGAAGAAACCATATTCCAAAGTTTGATGAGGCAGATGGCTTCTCTGCTCATGATTTCATGCCTGGTCTTATTCTTCATTAGCTGCCCTTTATTGACATTTCACCGTGTGCCTCGTCCATCTCTCACACTGGCCTTGTGAAGGAGAGGTGTACCGTTCCACTTTATAGATGAAGAAACTGAAGCCCAGCGAGGTGTCATGCTGTCCAGAATCATTGAGCTGTAAACACAGCCAGTGTCTTGAAGGCCTAGTATAATAACACATCTACTTGGCCATTGAGATGGCCTATCTCAGGGTCCCTGCAGCCCTGAGTGCAGACTCAGGCTCTCTGACCCTGACTTCTGAGGGTGGGGACACAAATGGGGGAGGGATGGAATGATGTCCTGGACTGGTATAGAGGGCCTTTCCCACATGCTGGTGGCCCACAGATGGGGCAGGGATTGATGAGGCACCTCCCAGCTCACCTGAAACATGGCCTAAATTTCTGAGCTCTGATGCTCATGGGAACCTAGAGAATGAATGACACAGTCTCCCGAGTCTGGATGGCCTGCATCTTACCTTGGCTCTGCCTCTCCCTGGCTCTGTAACTGGGAAAAGCTATTTGACCTCACTGTCTCAATTTCCTCATATGTAAAACCCCTCACAGGATTGTTGAAAGGTTTGAGCTCAAAACAGTGTCCAGCACAGAGTCATTGCCAGAAAAGCTTTTCCTCATTCTCCAGCGGCACAGAACTTCTCTTAGCTCACCAGCTTTTGAAATGAAAACCTGATCATGTCCCTTCTTCCTTTTGCTCCAGTCCTTTCCAGGGCTGCCCAGTCTTTCAGGTCTAGTACTGACCTCTTAGCCTTATAGTCTTCTCCAACCACACAGCTCCCCTCTTGCTCTCTGAACTCCCTCAGTCAGCACTTGCCATATACCACAGGGCCTTTGCACTTGCTGTTTTCACCCCTCTGCTCCTCCCTTCCCTACTTTCAGGGGCTATTAAATTTTTTCTCATTTTTCAGTTTCATGTGTAAGTACCTCTCCACCCAGGAAAGCTTCCCAGGTGCTGCCTGACTAAGTCAGCAACTTTGGTCATGCTGAGTGAACTGTGCCACTCCAGGGTACAGGATGGGGCAAGTCTGTTCTATGCTATCCCTCACCCCCACCCCTAGGGCATGTCCTTTCTTAAAAAGGTGGCAGAAAATAACAGTGAGCAGAAACATGTGTTGTATCCTGAGACTTTGGTGGACACCTACTTCTGGCCTCATTCTGTGGGCCAAAGCAAGACCTATGGCCAAGCCTGACACCAGCAGGGAGGGGACACTGACTCCACCCAAAGAGGAATCACCCACACACCACCCTCCGGCCCTCTCACAGCATCCAAGCACTAAACCTCCTTCTTGTAGAACTAACTGGCAGCAGTTTTACATTTATTTGTATCATTATTTGAACAATCTGACTCTCAAAAATAGAAAGACCCATGAATTTTTTTTTTTTTGAGACAGAGTCTCACTATGTCACCCTTGGTAGAGTGCCTTGGTGTCACAGCTCACAGCAACCTCAAACTCTTTGGCTTAAGCGATTCTTTTGCCTTAGCCTCCCAAGTAGCTGGGACTACAGGCGCCTGCCATGGCACCCAGCTATTTTTTGGTTGGAGTTGTCATTGTTGTTTAGTAGGCTCGGGCCGGGTTCGTACCTGCCAGTATTGGTGTATGTGGCTGGTATCCTATTCACTGAGCTACGAGTGCCAAGCCCCTATGAGTATTTTTTCTAATCATTTTAATTCTCACCTCCCAGCACAGTTCCCTGCACATAGTAGGTGCTCAATAAATGTTTGAAGAAATGAATGAGCAAATGAGGGTTTCTGAGGTGGCCTAGGAGAGGATGGGATGGAGTGGCCCTCTGGCTTGCCCTAGTTCACCTGTCATGTCCCCAACCTCTGGCTATGGGGAAGGGTTTAAAGGTGAGCGGGACCACTGGCGCAGCGGGAGGACCATCTGCATCAAGACTCACGAGAGTGGCCAGAAGGAGATCGAGGCCTTCGATGCTGCCATCCTGCTCATCCGTAACCCTTACAAGGCTCTTATGGCGGAGTTCAACCGAAAGTATGGCGGGCACATCGGCTTCGCGGCTCATGCCCACTGGAAGGGCAAAGGTATGGCTTGGGAGGGGAGGGATGGCATCTGTGGTGCCAGGACAGTGCCCTAGGATGGGTGGGGGCAATGCTCTCGGGACCAGGGTGGCCAGCAGGAGACAATGTCTCCTGTGAGGAATCCAGAAGGGCATCCCTAAGAAGGTGCCTGTCACACTTTATTTCCTGCTTACAGTAGAGGAGATGTGTTTCCCACAACCCACCACATCCACCGGCCTCACCCTCTGTGAGCTGGACTGTTAGCACAGAGTGGTAAAAGATGTGGGTTTGTGAACACTACTCTCTGGGTTCAAGTCCCAGCTCCACCACTTCCTGGAAAAAAGCTCCTACTCTCTTTGAACTTAGAATGTCCCATCTATGAAATGGGAATAGTAAAATTAGAGGGATTAAAGACGTTTAGCCCTCTTACCATCTATATTGTCATCTATATGAAATTGACGGAACCGGGTTAAATTGGGAGTCAGGAGCCCTGAATCCAGCCCCAGATCAGTGGCTCAATGTCTGTACTGCCCTGAGGTCCTAAGAGCCCAGGTACAGGGCGTCATTTCAATGAAGCAACCTACCAACTCTGGGTTAGGAGGCTCAGAGAGGTTAAGTGGGAAGTGACAGCATGGATCCCCCAAGCACTGAACTTACTAAGATGACCTAGGTTTGAGAACCAGCTCTGAAACTTGCCAAGTGGTGAGGTCTATATGGATTAACATTCAACTCAGAGTAGTGACCAAAGAAATGAAGTCAGACCCAATTTCTGCCATCTTGGGTGTCCTATAAGCCCTCTAAGTCTCAGAATCTCACATTGATTACACGAGAATCCCTATCACCACCATGAGAGTCACATCCAAGAAGTGTTTTGGAAAGAGTTAACTTATTACACCTCCACAATAATTGTCACCATTTTATAGATGGGACAAGCTAAGTTTAGGGAGGTTAAGGAGCTTTTCCAGTGGGCAAGGGGTTTGGGTATAAAGTTATAGTTACACAGACAAGTAAGTGCCAAAGATCTGTTATACACACAATACCTGTAATTAACAGTAAGATATTCTTTACTTAAAAGTTTGTTAAGAGGGTAGATGGCATGTCAAGTATTTTTACAAACAAAAAAACAGTACAAGGAAACTTCCAGAGGTGATGGAAATATTTATTACCTGGATTGTGGCGATAGTAACAGGAGTATATCCATGTATCTAAACTCGCCAAATTGTATATATTAATTATGTGTAGTTTTTTGTGGACCAGTTATGCCTCGGTAAAGGAGAGGGGGATGAGTTTTTCCATGAAGTGGTGGAGCTGGGATTTGAACCCAGAGTCTTGCTCCTGAGCCCCGACCTCAGGCCCTATGCTGTGACAAAGGATCAGATGAAGTGTTAATGGATATCAATCCAACCAGACCAGAGCTCCCAGCACACAGTAGGTGATCTGTGAATGTGAGCTGTCCCCAGCTTGGAAGTAGGCTGTTCCAAGATTCCAGCCTCTCCACAGGCAGGACCAGAGGAGGGGAGGATGATGCCAACTCAGCAATTCACTGATGACATCCCCAAGACTGACCTCACTGGTGAAAAACCTTGGGCCTGCCCTTGGGCTGCCAGTTCACTCAAGGCAGCTCCTAGGCCTCACTCCTCCTCTCGGTGAGGAGATGAAGCTTGCACAGGTGGTGACATTTGTTATTCCCAGGAGTAAAGAGGCCTCTGAATTATTTATTTATAGGAAGAACAATAAAAAGTGAACACTGCTCAGTGCCAGGCTGAGATGTTTATAGGTGCAAATGGCAGTAGCCTGTCCCAGAAGCACAGACTGTGCTTGTTAAGGCTGGATGGGACCTGGGAGATAACCCAACCTGGTGCACCTTGCCCAGGCTGTACACTAGTGTCCCCAGAGGAGTGTGGGAAATCCCTAGTGCCCAGGCCACAGCCTGAACCAATCCTAGGATGAAGCCTGGACATCAGTATTTTTTAAAGCTCCTGGGCTGCTTCTGGTTTGCAAACAGAGAACCACTGACTCTGTTTATTCCTGCAGAAATAGAGAGGCAGTGATCCCCATGGTGGGGCTGGCCCTAGGACCTATCCTCCCAGCCACCATGATGCCCCAGTGAACAGAGAGGGGGCTTACACAGGCACTTGGCATTTGTAATCTCATTTAAACTCTTAAATAACCTGAGGAGATAAGAAAGGCTGCAGTAATTCAGTAGCTCCCTATTTACTGGTGAAAAAGCCATCCCAAGAGGGGGCAAGTCCCTGGGCTAAGGCCCTAGGCATTGACTGAGCTGGAATTCAAACCCAGGCATTAATCACCAAGTTCTACTCTCACCTGGAGATGTAGTGACCCTCTGGTACATTCAGAGGTTCTCCTTTCCCGGATAGTCCCCCCATCCTAGGTTCAGATGATTCCCTTAATTCCCAGGAGCCATCGCTCCTCTTTTTCCTTATCTAAGACAGCTGGGAGCTTTAAACCAGCATTAAAGGCGTAACTAGGACAGACTGAACCAAGAGTCTGCTGGGAGTTTAGGGGAGCACCACACACACATCTCACATTGGGGGCCTGAGGTTCCACTTTCTTCTGGGATGGGGGAAGGAGTAACGTCCAATCACCTCCTTCAATGCCTGATGCAGGCCTTAAGGACCCCAGCAGCCCTTATGCTCTTTTCCCCAAGGAGCAGAACCCCTAGTCTCCATCCAGCCCATTCTCATTCACCATCTGGCCTTTGAAGGGACTTGAGTTTGAGGCCCTTGCTTTAGGCTCCCTGAAACAGCATCATTTGGAATCTTAGAAGAGCAAATGCTCAGGCCCCACCCCCCACCTACAGAATCAGAAATTCTGGGGTGAGGCCCCAGCAGTCTGTGTTTTAACAAGCCTTTCTGATGATCCTGCTGTGCACCCCAGTTTAAGAACCACTGCTTTAAACCCTTGCCACTCCAAGTGTGGCCTGTGGTCCACTGGCATTGACATCACCTGGGAGATATTTAGATAAGCAAATCTGAGCCCCCATCTCAGCCTTACTGGATCAGAATCTGCATTTTATCAAGATTCCCCCAGGGGACTTCTTGTGCACTCAAAATTTTGAGAATTGCTACTTTGGGATGCCCTTGGCAACACAGAATACAAAGGTCGCCTGTGGAGGTCATCCAGCTATTGGGCATGTCTACTCCACTGTCCCCTTGTTCCCTTCCCAATTATACCTCAGTCAAGGCTTCTACAGTACGGAACCTCTTTTGGTTCCATAATGTTAATTTTACAATCTCCCTGGAGTGGATCCAGAGCAAAATTTTATGTGATATGATTACACAAGGTGAATTGTCCTGGATCTGTTTAATGAAACAGATACTGTGTTTAATGATTCCATGGGGAATTAAATACAGTTAAGCTATTAATCAGGCCCTGGTTGGTTCCTCCCATCAACAAGAAGATGGAGCAGAGGCTGGCCAGCCTGTCTCCCGCCCACCCCTGTGACAGTTCCGGCGGAACCAACACTCATTACCCATGTTACGCAGCTTTATTACCCGATTTGCAGGCAGCGATCAATTACCAAGAATCCTGAGCTAATCGAGGGCTTTTGTTTTTGATTTTCATTCTTCTTCCCAGTGAAGTAATTTAGGGGTTTCCAGTGAGGAAGATTTACCACAGGAGGGGGTGAGGTGGGCCAACAGCTGCTGCTGAAACAGCTTGGATATCTACTGTGCTTTTGGAGGGAAGCCTGGACCAAAATGATGGGGCACGTGGGGAGTCTCAGGAGACAGGGTGGGGGTTGGGGACAGGCACCAACAGCATCACGAAGAATAGGAACCAACATTTATCAGGCACCTCCCGTGCCCCAGGCACCATACCAGGGCTGTACAGATCTCTTTCTACCTCATCTCCAGGGCAAGTGTAGGAGGCAGGGAGTCTTATCAGGACCACCATTTTGCAAATGGGCAAACTGAGACTCACAATGGAGTAACGTCTCCAAGGTCCACATGTAAAGTGGGGTTTTGGTCTCATCTATGAACACACCCTGCATCTCAGACGGCAGCCCGAAGCGGAAGCGAGCAGTAGGTTGATGAAGAGTCTAACCTCCCAAGACCTGGAGCAAAAGGAAGGCTGGCGCTAATGTCACCAGGTGCCCCTAAATACTTCCTAGGATGGCAGGAGCCAGGTTCAACCTGAGATGGATGTGCGTTCACATTCAGCCTCAGATCCCGGCTGTGTATCTTGGCAAGTTGCTTCATGCCTCTAAGCCTCCTTTTCCTTATGTCTGAAATGGAGCTAGTACGTCCTACTCTCTAGGCTTCTTGTGAAGTGCCTGGGTAGCCCAGCACCCAGTAGGTGCTCAGGCAACATGCAACATGCCTCCCCTACCTGCTCTTCAGCCTGGTGTCTCACAGAGGTTTGCGCTCAGCAAGGACACTTTGTCATCCCCATTCCCCCTGCAGCCAAGTCTAGTAGTGCACACTGAGTTAGTTACCTGAGGGCCCCCCATCACCCCCTCCTTTTTCTTGAGGGACACCCTGCAGCCCTCCCATGACAACCACTTGAGATGCCAAGAAGTGGCCGAACCTCTAAGTCCAGATGTGTGTGTTGCTGGGTGACCCACCCCATCTCCTTCACCTGGGCTTCTCCCACGAGAGCAGCAGCTGTCCTGAGTCACCACAGATGCTGTGAGGCGACTCTGGTGTGGGGAAATTCTGAAAGAATAGAACAGACCATACACATGCTAGAATTTCCTTAATCACTCAGATACATCTGGTCTTAGCCCATTAAAACAGTACGGGCCCAATTAGCCAGATACATTGTAAATAATCTATTTTAAGGATTAAAAAAATATATATCCTTGTCACCAGCATAAATATTTCCCAAGCAGCCGTTGTGTTCAAGGGGGGACTGGAAGTAGTCGTCTTGTCACAGATTCTGATGTGTTTGGCAAAGAGAAGGAGCCCTTTATCACATTGCAATTTGGCGGCTGGGAATTTCAATTTAGTTCAACAACCATTCATTAAGCCCCCGCTGAGGACCAGGCAGTGGGAGGAAGTGGGGGTGAGGCTGCTGGGGCCTGGGAAAGACGGTCCTGCAAGCAGGCAGAACCAATCAGGATGGCGCGTCCTGGCGGTGTGACCACGGCCAAGTCACTTCACCTCTCCCAGCCTCAGGTTCCTTCCAGGTGATGTGAACAGTTGGACTAAATTAGGTGATGGGTATTTATCACCAAGCAAAGGATTAGGATTTAGCTACTGAGAACCAGCTGGACTCCCCAGCCTCACTTGGGTGACTCCCCATGCCCTTTCAGTAAACTGACTACCCCCCACCTTTTCCTCCTCTGTGAGGTGCCAGGTTGTGTTTGCCCTTGTGAGAGGCAATAGATCTCAGTTCAGAGCTTTGGAGCACCTGCCCTCCAGCTGAGTCTCAGAATTCAGACTGCAGCTCCTTTTCTCTGTTCCCGATGTCCCCCCACATTCTCCTTCTGCAGGACTTTCAGCTGCTGCAGGTGCTGACTGCCTCTCTCTTCGAGGTCCTTCCCAGGCCTCCCCAGGGTAGTGCCCATGTTCCCTATAACCTGTCTTTCAAATTAGACAATTCCAAACACACCCTCCTACCATAGTTGGGGTGACAATTGTCATTTCACCATGGAAGGGCAACAAACAGCAAAAAGAAATGGTACGTGGTACTTGAACGCAAAGAAAAGAAAGAAGTGTAGAACAGAAAGGTATAAAGATGACAGTGTAAATGATCCAGCTGAAACCCCGCCCTCAGATTGGTCACAGTGTGTTAGAGAGACAGGCAACTTAAGCAGGATGTTACAGCACAACGTCACCAGTGCTGTGGGGCACGAGGGAGGGGAATGGGTTTCGTAGCCCAGAGGAGGCACTTGGCGGAGGCTGGGGAGTCAGGGAAGGTGCTGTCTGACCTGAGAACAGTTAATAATAATAGATAGCCAGCGGGTTCAAGGCACCATGCTAGAACCTTTATGTGCTTTTTCTACTTTCTACAATGGCTCTATGATTATCCTGCGAGGAGATACCACCACTGGCCAGGACAACCTGGGAGTTAAAAGCGCAGACTTTGAGGCTGGATTGCTTGGGTTCAAATCCTGGCTTTGCTAGTTGTTAGCACTGACCTTGAGCAAATTATTTAACCTCTTTGTGCCTCAGTTACCTCTTCTTCTGTTAAAGGGGGATAACGATGGTACTTACCTCACAAGGTTGTTATGAAGATTAAGTGGACTTAACAGCTATTTTTATACACTTATAATTATAAAATATTTTGTATAATTATATAATCTATAATATATGTATATCATAGACTGATATAAATAATGTATAATGTGTTAATATGTTACACATTATACTATAGTGACAGAAAGTTATATATAGGGCTGTATCTGGCATGTAGCAAGCACCAAACAAGTGTTACCGTTACTCCCAAAGAGAAGGGAGGGCTAAGAATATTCCAGGCAGAAGCAGCACTGAAGTGAGACGCAACACACATATGGACAGATGCAAAAGGAATGAATGGGGTCATCATTCTCAACTGCTAATTGCATTAGTTGTGTTGTGCTGTGAATAATGGCAACCACTGACCCGGGTCTGTGAACCCCTCCAGCCTCCTGACCCATCCTCCCTCCTCTCTCTGCAGAGTGGCCGGAGTTTGTGAGGAACTATGCCCCGTGGTGGGCCACTCACACACTGGACTGGCTCAAGTTTGGCAAGAAGGTGCTAGTGGTGCACTTCGAGGACCTGAAGCAGGACCTCTTTGTCCAGCTGGGCCGGATGGTCAGCCTGCTGGGTGTGGCCGTCAGGGAGGACCGGCTGCTCTGCGTGGAGAGCCAGAAGGACGGCAACTTCAAGCGTTCAGGGCTCCGGAAGCTCGAGTACAACCCCTACACAGCAGACATGCAGAAGGCCATCTCTGCCTACATCAAGATGGTGGACGCGGCCCTCAAAGGGAGGAACCTCACGGGTGTGCC